TAGCACCAGAGACTTGCTGCCTTCTTCCATTCTGTTCCTTTTTTACAGTCGTATTTCCCTCTGCACAATTCATTAGAAAAAGGCCACTGAACAAAAAGTTGCCAGCCCTGGAAAGGAGCATGTTTTACATCCCCCAAGGATACCTCTCCCTCAGTGGCTGCACAAAGGTCTGATGCAAATAAAGGCTTCACAGTGAGATTACACTCAGTGATGAATAGGCAAATGCTAAATTTAGGTCAAACTTAGGAATTGCCATCAGCTCTAAAATTACTTACGTCAGATCCAAAATTTCAAAGAGCTCTCTCCCTAAGCTGCTGAAAACCTTCAGGTTATTTCAGAAGCACCTCCCACAAATAGTGTGAGTTACTGGGCTTTAATTAGACCAAAAAAAATCCAGTTACATGCATTTTGATTAGCTTTAAGGATAACTAATGTAATGAAATGAATCTGTATAGGCCATGATTCTGGTTTAACACACAAAAGCAAAGAGAAGTGCTTGTGCAAACTGCCCAGCTTTTAAGTCTCTGTATAATGCAGTCCATTTTGCTAATTTGCAATGATAATTACAAACTCATAAAAATACGTCTGTTCACTCAGACTGACTGTAACTCTTGCTTTGATGCCTGGATTGCTCTTTTTCCATTTTATTGCTTCCATTTTTTCTCATACAGACCACAAAAACAGTTTGACTTATAAAAGCAATTATTATATGCCTCTGTTCATTTTAAAACTATGGGTTTAATACTCAAGTTTATTAAAAATCAGATTTAAAAGAGAAGCTGAGGGCCATGCTGCCTATTGGCAAGAACGTTATTTTTCTTTACTAAGAAGGTTGTACAACACAGTATTAATAATTATTACTTTAGTCTGTGACAACAACTGTAGTTGAATGGGTTATTCTGGACTTTTTCTGCGTGCTGAGGAGGGCAGTGTACTGCTGGAAAAGAGTGTACAGCTGCCTACAATCCAGAGCATCACATGGTACTTTACAGGTTAAAAATACTGCCTTTTTTTTCCCCAGAAGGATTTTAGCAGGAAAAAAATAAAGAAACAGTGAAGAACTTGAACTAAAACCTTGAAAGACAATAGGGAGTCCTTGAGCTCACCACTTAAAGGCTGGGTGTTGGGAGGATGGGGCCAGTCTTTTTTCAGTGGTGCCCAGGGACAGGACAAGAGGAAATGGGCACAAACATGAACATGAGAAGTTCCATCTAAACATGAGGAGGAACTTCTTTCCTGTGAGGGTGGCAGAGCCCTGGCAGAGGCTGCCCAGGGAGGTGGTGGAGTCTCCTTCTCTGGAGACATTCAAACCCACCTGGACACGTTCCTGTGGGACCTGCTCTGGGTGGACCTGCTTTGGCAGGGGGTTGGACTGGATGATCTCCAGAGGTCCCTTCCAATCCCTTATCATTCTGTGATCTCATGGCATAGGCAGAGGAGAAACGTGGAAGATGCTCTGACTGCTGGAGCTGGAGAGGAGACATGACCTGGGCGATCTGAGCAGGGTCCCAGGAGATGCATCATCACCAATGTTAAGGTGACTTTAGTGACTTTAAATGGAGTAAGCCCTAACAAAAGGCCGTGTGACTCTGCATGAGGGCCCATCCAGCTCTGCTTTCCATCAATATTTTGAAAACCACACGGTGTATTCAAGCTATAGGAGGGCCGTTGCTTTTATGGACTTACCTAGCAGCAAACACTCTTTTCTGCTTGCATCAAATAGAGATCCAGTACAAATTCCCAGTGTTTTTTGAGTGCTACTGAACATAATGTTTTTTCTGGAATTACCTCTCCCACAAACTTACATGAACAGGGATGGCTTTTTGTGTGCAAAAAGGATGCCAATACGTCCTAGAGGAGACGCCACTCTAGTTGCAGGCCCTCAGCGTTTGAGAACAAATGGTTTGTGTTGACCCAAGTCCAAGAAGTCCATATTTTCTCTGTAGCTGTTCCTGGTTTGCTTCTGGCTTTTCTTTTAAAAAGCAATTTTGCAAAATTGGCACTTTGGCACAGTGTCTTATTTGATAGCTTCCCATCTGCTCTCCCGATTTATACCCCCTGAATTTGCTAACAAAATCAAGTTTTTATGGCTAGCCACATTGCAAAGCTTATATGGCTGTGGGAAAATGGGCTGCACTCAAATTTCTCCTTACGCTTCATCAACCACAGCGTGTGCTGATGCTGACTCTGCTGGCAGCAGCGGGGACGGACATCACAGCAGGCTACAGGTTCCCCTCCAAATGCTCTGCACAATTCAGGGGTGTATTTATTTCCTCTGCTGAGGGTCAGAGTAAAGCCTAGAGGTGACACAAGGAAAATACATACTGACTGCAGATATTTTACAGTTTCTGTTCTAGATTGCATTCATCCTCAAATATTGTGGTGACTTAGTCCACAAACTAAAATGTTACATTTAGTGGAAATATACGTTTGGGGACGGCAAGAAAAGTACAAGCAAAGATAGCAGAGCAGCAATAGATGAAGAGAAATGTCTGATATTAAAGGTAAACCTCCTTAATGGCTCTCTAGCAATCTCATTCCCCTTCCACAGCCACAATCTTTTCACCGCTTCCACTGCGCCCAGAAGAGGCACTTGTCTCTCCCAAAATGAACTGAATCGAGGAAGTCAGGACAGCAGAAAATTAGTAATTTATGTGTCAGACTGGCTTCCAGTGAAACCCACTTGCTGCAGAAAGCCTGGGCTGAGCTGGAGAGGGCACAGGAACAGATTGCCCAGGGCAAGGCAAGAGCAGAACCATAACGTTTAGCATCCGGTCGCCATTAGTCACGCTTTGTGCGACAGAGAGGGGAAGAAATAAACCCAAGTAGCTGTGCTAGGAAAGCCCTGGAAGCAGGTTTATGGTAGAAGAGGAGTAGGTTCCATCTTCCCACAGGGCTGTATCCAAACAGCCTGAAGTCCTGCATGGGATTTCCTTCTGGGGGGCTGTGTGGTTCCCCAGCTCCCCCCTGCACCACCCCACACGTCAGTTTTCAGCCACGTCACCTCCTGCCACGCTTCACCCTGCAGCCATTCAAAGCCTCACCTCAGCACAGGGAAGGAGACAGCAAAAAGATGGGGTGACCCCCAGCCAGGAGACACCCCACTGACAAGTGATTGAGCAGGCAGCAAAGGGGCACGGCTCTGCCTTCACTCTAAAACAACAAGGAAACGGGGTTTTCTTCAGAGAATTCTTTCATGCACAACCACCATTCGGATATTTTTTTTTAAGTGTAAACCCCCCAGGCCCCTAGATCCTCACAAAACTAGGCTTCTTGCCTCATTTCACCCATCAGTTGATTAATTTAATTTAGGTTTTGCATCCGCAAAGGAATAACTCTGTTGCCCGCGTTAACATAGGCAGGAAATTCTTTCCTACACAGCTCAGAGTGTGTCCTCTTTGAGGACAACTCACAGGATCCTGCTTCCCAACCCACAGCACAAAGGAAAAGCATAGCTTTTCCACATTTTCAGCCCTGCCTTCCTTTTCTGAAAGGACAAATCAAGAAAAATCAAGTCAGCTTCAACAGCCTTAAGCTGTGATTTTCACAGCTTTCCATCAAACACTAAAGGTAATCTTGATGTTTGATTACTCTGGAGTGGAACTGCCACTTCTTAATTGTTCATCAAGGCCCAAACTGTCCCAAAATTTATGAACATCCTCCCTTTATTTTTGTGTGTGTGTGTGTGTCTCAATGAGGGGGGGGGATGGCTTTGTCTTTTCCAATCCCCCTTCCGTTCCTAGAATGGTGCTTCTCAGCAAGGAAGAAGGTTTTAGGAAAATTACTGGTGGACTAGTACGGAAATCGAATACACTGCTGAGCAATAATTCCCATACAACACACAAGGCATGGACTTGTGTTCAAGAAGCATGTGCTGTTTAGGGTTTTGCATGTGTTGATTTTTTATTTTTTTTTTTCCATTTCATAGAGGCAACTCTTGTAGAGTAAGGTTTTAGGAAAATTACTGGTGGACTAGTATGGAAATCGAATACACTGCTGAGCAGCAGTTCCCATACAACACACAAAGCATGGACTTGTGTTCAGGAAGCACGTTCTGTTTGGGGGTTTGTGTGTGTGGATATTTTTTTTTTTTTCATTTTATAGACTAAGACTAACCCATAACAATTTACTGTTGTTTAGACAATTATTCTATCACCTGATGACCACTCCCCAACCCGGAGAGGGGAATCGGGGAACACAAAGAACCACGAGGGATGAAATAGAAACAGATTTAATAGAATAGGTCTACACAAAGAACCACGAGGGATGAAATAGAAATAGATTTAATAGAACAGGTCTAAATAATTAGTAATAGTACTAAAGAACCAGTATTAATCCTGATACTGCTGGAAGATGTACAAGAATTATACTCAGCCAGTTCTCTCAGCAGGAAGCTGTGCACTCCCAGCAGGGACAGCAAATGGCAGACCCTGAGCACAACAGCTTCAGGAGGAAGGGAAGGGCTCAGGGCTCTGGCACCGGAGCAAGGAGTTGTCTGGACCCACCACCATCAAGGGAGAGAATGCTACAGAGCAAACTTTTCTAATTTATATTGAATGTGACATCCACGGTATGAAATAACCCTGTTGGCCAGCCTGGGTCAAATGCCCAGGCCTTGCTCCTCCTTGTCCCTGCACCTGCCAAGACTCAAAAACGCTGAGACTTTGAATCCCACAGAGCCTGGCTGGCTATAAAAGAAGTATTTTCATTAATTCAGACACTGGAGTCTTGGAAAAGTGCCGTTTTCCCCAGCATTAGAAGAAAAGTTAGTCCTGTGTTGCTTAACCCAGGACAACTAAGGCAAACCCAGCAAACAAGGGCAATGGATGCCATGACGAAAATATGGTAGTAAAGCAAAATGTGTAAATCCAAGGTAAACACCCAATACGGAGTGCACAGAAAAGAGAAGAAAGAAAGAGGGATTAATCAGTGCAGGGATATTCAAGAAAGCTTTCTCAACAATCTTCTTGTATTAAAAAGAAAACAATTATACTTGCAAGTCACTTGCAGAAAATTTTAATAATTTGCCAAATATACAGCTATTAGAATTACCCTAAGTATCACTTATAATTACAAAAGTTGGTAGATAGCATAGTACAATGTTCTATAAAATAAACACATATAATATTAACAATACCCCCTGCAGTCCAATAATGGCAAAAAAAAAATAGCAAATGAAACTACAGACACATACAAATTAGAGGAGATTGAGTGACAGCTTTAGACACTTGAGTCAAAGAAACTGAGACCAGACCAGACTAGATACATTCATCCATCAAGCATAAATCATGTAGAACTTTAGATTTTAAAAACAATTAACAACACAACGATCAGGTGCAATTTCACATGCTTTCATTTCTCTTCCAGTACAGTTCCCAGAGTATTAAAGTGCCTTTGTGCACTCTCGTTTCAGGTGCAACACACGTCATATTTGGAAGTTACTTCATAGGTCACTTTTTTAAAAAAAAACAACAAAAAAACACATGATAGGTATTGGAACCAAAGGATGCGATTCATCTAAGGTGTTTTTAAAGGTGTTTTAAAAAAAGAATATGATAGGTATTGGAACCAACAGACACAATTCAAACTAAGGTGTTTTTAAAGTACCTTTCTTCAGACTATTTGCTCTTGAATGTCATACAACAAACTAATTAAACTCCAATTACACGGGGCCCCCCTCCGCTACAGAAAGGCTACAGTGAAAGATATTTCTTGAAGTGTGTTTTCTGCTGTACAACCCTTAGCTTTTCTCATTTTTTTTCCCCTTTCAGTTACATTTGTCCTTTGGATGACAACCTTCTCTGCAGCCTTCATTTATTGATGGCCGTGAGCATGGAAAAGGGGCAGTATTTGGCCTGTGGCTGTGGAGAGGCACGGACTTCACCAGTAACATCCTACAACCCTCGGTTAGAACTCGATGAACAGGCATGGTGTATTCTCCCTGCAAGGTAAGTGAAAACTTGCAGCCTTCAGATCTTATCCCCAGCCATCACCCCCACTGCAGAACTGACCAGATGTCCTACTCAGGGCTCCTTAGGAACTTCCACCCCTCCCCGCTGCGCTACCTCCTTACACCCAACCCTCACTGCAGAAAGAAAAAGGGAAACTTCACACAGTTTGGCTATCACTCACCTTTCCCCCAAAATGTCCTCTTCAAAACACAGAGAAAGGAGATTTCATAAAACCTATGATCCAGTCTCCCATGGAAGTGTACTCTCCACTAACATCCCATCCCGACTCTTTCATGGGAAAGACTGCGAGAGGGAAATTGTGTTTCCCTCAGGAGTTGAGGCATTTTGCTGGTGTTTTTCAATACTGCACTTTTAAGAGCAGTTACGGGGCAGAAGTCTCTTAGGAAGTAAAAATTTCACTTTAAATCATCCCGCAATGATGCTACAGGAGGTCACCAGTGGCCAGAGCTGAAGAAGGCACTCGGGAAGAAAGCTTACTTGGGAGGGGAAAAAAACTAGAAGGGAGGATGACCAACTAGTGATAACGTTAAACAGCGGAAGTGGAAGAACAGATTCACATCCACTGTCCTCCTACACTCCGTGACACTTCCCATTGTGAAATGGAAAAACAATTAGAGATTTGCCATCACTGTAAGTGCCCCTGCCTGACATAGCCATGGCAGTGACACCTGCCTTTTGCCACTGCTGCTGCTGCTGCCACAGGGGAAAAGGCCCATTTTAAATGCTGCGTGATCCAGACCCGGATCAGCAAGAGCTCTCCACAGGCGAGGAAGTTTCTCTGGGCCTCCAGATGTGTAACTCACTCAAGTTACTTAAAATACCACGGGCACTGAAGTGTTTCAGTATCAACTCTGTAATCAAACAGAAGGGAATCGGTGATTTCCTGACCTACTGAGTACTTTAGGAATTCTCCATGAAACTGTAGGATTATAGAAAAGAACAACTGTAGTATGTATTACAGCAGGGAAAAAACAGAAACCAGCACAAGTTTCATGTGAATCACAACTATAGGTAAAGTCTCTGGTTTAGTTCATAAAATGATTTGATTAAAATAGTTTAAAACATTTCATAATGGTATAATAATTTCCAATGTTACTTATGCAACAAGTTTCACCCATATCCAAAAATACCATATATGTAAATGCTTTTTTATAAAACTTTATACAATTCAAGCTCTCATTCGGTAAGCCTGTACACAATTCTCACAATCACCCAGGCAGAAAGTCTTCAGAAAAGTACATCCCCAGAGACACACGAACGACAAGGCTTCCATCAATCTTCCCTTTTGACAATCCATTCTGCTAAATCAAACTCTTATTGCTTAAAAATCAAAAAAGACAGGTTTCATCAACGACCGATACATCACACCATCCTGGCGAAGGGACCTGCTTTCAGTTTTATTTCAGAAATATATATATTCAGAAATATTTCAGTTTGTTTCAGAAATACCTATAGGCCTCGTTACTGTAAAGATTTCCAGGTAACTGTCACCCGTCCTCTACGCTTCATACAGAGAAGGAGAGAGACATCACTGGGAGGGAGGAGATGGACAGCAATACATGCCTTCATGCCTAATTAATTCCCTCAGCTGTTTAATGATTTCCGTGAATACATCTCCAACTATAACTGAAAGCCATCTGATTAGATACAAGACACTAAAAACACCAAATCTAAAAATGTGCAAGAACAATGTGAACGTTAACACCTTGGCAGGCAGAAATTTCACAGTTGGTACTATGCCCAAACACCTCTACAGCAAGCTTTATTTACACAACTTCCAATTAAAAATATTGTTATCTCTCAAGCTACATTTTAAATTAACAGAAATACATCCATAATAACTACTGGTTTAAAAAAAAAAAAAAAACCATGATAAAATTATTTTATTTTTTTTTTATTCAAAATATTCTGACAGTTTAACAATATTCCAGGTGTGTTACAAACACTGCCATAGTCAACACAACAATCAACACTCCAAGAGCATTCAAACACTGAAGACAAATATCTTAAAGCGGAGACGGGAGAATGCGCTTATACTAAGAGCAAACACATCATTTCCCAATAACTGACTTTTGAGGCAGATGTCCAATTTCGTCGGCACAAAATGGATTAAAATCCAGAGGAGATGAATTACGGAGGACAAAAATTCAGACGTATAAATGTTTTGCCCTATATTTTCTAGAAAACATTGTGAATTTATCATACAAGGCCACTACCAGCCTAGGCTACTCTAGTGTTGACTATTCACGGGACAGGAGAACAAAAAAATCATAACAAAGAAACCAGCATCCAAGCAAACAAAACCACAAACTCTTCCTAGAATATGGCTTAAATTAGTTCACAGAGCATTGGGAATATATTCAGTATATGGTGCAATGGAGATACCAGGGAGAAAAATGAAACTTTCTCTTCCTGGTATTTCATGTCAGCCTTCACCACAATTTGCATAAAATTTTCAACCAAATGATACTGCCCCTCCTGCAAGCATCTTTTCCCATGCTTCCAAAATATTATGTTACTAACACATCATTCTGTTTCATTCTTGAATATATTGGCCAATATTAGCTCTAAAGTTTAAACAATATAGTTCTACGCATAATACCCTGTTTCTTCCAATTAACCCAGGTTCTCAAATAGAGCTAAAATTTCAGATTTATTTAAAACCAGAATATTTGCTCGAAAAAGTATTTATCTCCTTCCAATATAGAAAACAGGTGTGGAATTGAGAACTTGCGAAGATGTGGACACAAATGAGTGCATAGTGCAGAACATCATACAGAGAGAGCAGCAAGGCCACGGCGTCACATGAAGTCCACACGTAAAAGAAGTATGTTTCCAATGATCAAATCCATTCTAAAAAGTTTGACTTCTGAGGCTTGCTCAAAGCATTAAGATCTCGCTCTGTAGATGCCAAGAATCCTCCATCCCCACTTTTCGTACAGCCCTGGTAGGACAGCCGTGTACAGAACAGAAACCTCAAAAACGCTTTGGACACATCATCCTGATCTCAAAATATTCCATAATGAAAGCTTGAATTTTGCCTGCGAGAAAGAAGGAAGTGGGACAACTTTCTAATGACACCGCTTGCCTGCGTGTCAGTAAAAAAAAAAAAAAAAATTAAAAATAAAAAAAGAGAGGCCGCTTTAGCGCCGGGTAAGAGAGAGAGCCCCAACTCCACTGCCACGAACGGAGGTACGTCTGGTCGCTCCAGGGCTGAACTAGATCTTCTCAGCAAAGGGTCCTTCACCTGTATTGCTCCTCCTTTCCAGTCGGTGCTCCCCAGCAGCAGAAACAGGAGCCCTTCTTGCAAAACCACCAGCGGCAGACAGCGAGAGGAGATCCTTTGCACTTACTCAGAATGCTTTGTTTCCCCATTCAATTAGTTTGCTTTTAAAAGCCATGTTTTTGGAGAAGGGCCATCAGAGCAAAAGAGTGTGGCATTTCCCTCAGTCACAGCATCAGACACTCCATTAACAGATTGACTTAATCTCCTAAACCAAATTAGTTCCTGGAACATCTCGCCTTTGCGTTCTTTTTTCTTAGGAACAAACAGTTTCTCTAGCAGTTGTGCAGTTTAAGCCTGTTATGGTATTTTTACTCCAGCATTTTCTTAGCACCTCAACACAAATCGGGTTGTAGCTTGTCAACGGTGACCACCGGCTACAGACAACCACCAAGAGGGGAAGTGCCCACACCAGGGTTGAAAGAACAGCAACGTCGTCCCGTGACGTCGAAAAGCACTTTTTTTGATCCACTGGCTTCCAGGTGAGACTACTGACTCGGAAGGGGATTTCTCTCCAAGCAGGGTTAACTCCAGTTATTCAAATAAAGTAAACACGAGAGGGCAGTACTGAGGACATTAATCCTGCACTCTTAGCGTTTTCAGTCCTTTTTCTAAAAAAACCTGTTAATGGAGATAACGGCTCAGTGTCAAGGCTAAGTGGGCAAGTGTTACCTACGCTAAAGTCATGAGGGGAACTAACCCAACCCTTGCTTATAGTACAGCTGTACTCCTTGGATTTAAGCCAACTGTATGTATTTCACCCTACTCATTCACCTCTCTTGCTTCATCTCCAGTATCCTCATCCTTTCACACTCCCTAATTAACTAGCAATTATTTTCCTGAGTGAGATTATAAAAAGTTAAACCCCTTCTACCAAAAGTACAAAGACAAATAAAATATAGAACAATACAAACCCAGTTATACAGCATTACAAGTGCAGAAATTCGTCGTGTTGTTGCTCTTTTATCATTGGCCCCCAGTAAAAACCATAGCAAAGAGAATTTAGCTATCCAAAATATTTTGAAGTACTGTGATTAGATTCTTCAGCCCGTAAATGTAGCCCTCATCCTTTGTGTTGCTAGGAAACACGTGAGCAAAATCAATCATCCGGACTTCCACATTTGCACTTTCCTTGATTTCTGCTGGCATGTGACAGAAAACTTTTTCCAGTTGGGGTATAACGTTCCCGTTCAGGTGCTCCTGCGCGATGCACGCGCTGCTCTTCCACACGTTGCCTTGCTCCAAATTTTCAACTTTCAGCGAGAGCTGACTGTGGTGCCTCTTGGAATATGCCTTTTTGTGAAGTGCGTAAAATTTGGACAAGCCTTTACCCACAGAGGCCTCGATTTTGCCATTCTCCGTCGAATTAATTACGTGAATATTATTATTATACTCCAGTATGTCTCCACCTGCTAACAGTCCTTTGGGCACTCCTCTCTTCTCTGCCAGGGTGACGTCACCCAGCCGCACGGTTGTTGCCTGACACGAGCCTTCATAAACAAAGAGTAATGAGCTTGCATAAAAGTTGAGTTGCTTCTGGCCCTCAAACCACTCCAAAATCTTCTGAATCTTCTGAATGCTGGCAGCTATCGCGTCTTTCCTCAAGCAGTACCCATTGTGGAAAAACTTGGAGATGCCTGCAAGAAAGAGACACGTTTGGGGATTAGTTTCAGCTCTGAAATCAAAATGTTTTTTCATTTCTTTTGGGATGCCAGTAGGTCTCGATTTGAAGAAATGCACAGTATTCACACAATTGCCTTTCAGGCAATTATTAATAAATCAAAAGCAAACCAAGAAGCTCTGATACCTTCAGTCACCTCACCTGCATAAGGCCTGCTGTATAAAACTACAGATTGGGCTTCGAATAGAAATTAACTAATCAAGGTATCAAACAGTAGACGAACGTGGTTCCTGCTCTCCAGATCGTTTTAGCAAGTTTTGGGCGGGGACCCATTAAATGCTCCAAGGATAAACAAGCTCAAGCAACTCTTTATCATCTGTGGAGATGCCTGCAAGAAAGAGACACGTTTGAGGATTATTTTCAGCTCTGAAATCAAGATGTTTTTTCATTTCTTTTGGGATGATAGTAGATCCTGATTTGAAGAAATGCACAGTATTCACACAATTGCCTTTCAGGCAATTATTAATAAATCAAAAGCAAACCAAGAAGCTCTGATACCTTCAGTCACCTCACCTGCATAAGGCCTGCTGTATAAAACTACAGATTGGGCTTCGAATAGAAATTAACTAATCAAGGTATCAAACAGTAGACGAACGTGGTTCCTGCTCTCCAGATCGTTTTAGCAAGTTTTGGGCGGGGACCCATTAAATGCTCCAAGGATAAACAAGCTCAAGCAACTCTTTATCATCTGTGACAGAGCTGACAAGTCAGTGCCAGCTCCAGAGAGGGGTGTGTTTGTGTCTGTGTACGTGTCCTTCTATCCCTTGGTGGGGAACAGATGAAGAGACGTCAATTAATGACTAATTTGAAACAGTTATCACCACCAAACAGCCCCATTTTTATTCGTTGCTCATGCAGATCACCGAATTCTGGCACACAAATCCCCTTACCATCCTTTACTGTTTCCTTTGTCAAGCTCCTTCCGTAGTGCTGGTTTTGCGTCTCGTAGCTGTCAGAAGAGACGTGGTAAACCTGCAAGAGATGAAGAGGTCACTCAACTCATTTCAGACAACCAGTGGGGCTATGAGACACCTTATAGAGGGGCTACCAAATCTTTGGGACTATTTAGCCCTCCCTTAGCTTTACGTTCCTTGCCGCGGTCAGCGCTGCCCTCTACTGCTCTGATCCACAAAATCCTCCCCTTGCACATCTTTGGCTCTAAGTTAGGGCTTTCCTGCATTTTGAAAGACATCATTATCTTGGCAAAAATCAACATATCCATCAGAGGAAAACATTATTTTTTTTAAGGCACGTGAAGCTATCATACTCCTCGTGTTACTGTGGATATTAAATCAGTAAGATGTAACAGCTAAAAAATTCAACGCAATTATTCTGAAGTTCTTAAAACTATAAAAATATTTAGCACAATGGCAAAACAAGAAGAAATACCGTGAGGTGGCCAGGAAGGCCCAGCTCCATGAGAGGCACCTGAAACTATATTAAGATGTTTCAAATGAGGCCATACTCAATAAGTGACAACAGCCGAGCGAACGCTGCGTTCCAGCCCCGATAACGGCACATCAGCTCTTGCCTGAAAGGGAGACAACTCCTCCGGGTCCCATTTTGTCCATAACAGGAATTGTACCAGCTTAACAACTTAATTCAAAAATGTTTTACACAGAGACACGTTTTCTCTCTAACTGAAATAATTTCCATAGCAGAAACGTGCCAGCCTGCCGGGCCCGAGTCTAACTTGTTTATGAGAGCGCAGACAATTCTTATTTGCAGAAATAATGGTGTTACCAAGCAGGCAGTTTGTCTCTGGCAGAAACTTTGTGCTTGGCACTTGTTCAGACCACCCAACCCTGCGGCACCCACCCCGGCTGCAGCGCCTCTGCCCTCCCTTCACCACCCATAAAAAGAGAGGATTCCACGAAACGCACATCGGGGTGTGAGGCATCTGCCCCCCAATCTCTCCTTCACGTTCTTTTTCTTGCTGTAACCCACCGAGACAGTCCAAAACAGGGAAACATCAGCACATAAAAAGGAGTGGTACATGAGCAATAATTAAAAAAAAAAAATCAGAATTCCCTATTTTCATTGCAGCCCCCAAAACCTCTCCCTCATCCACAACAAGCACAATATGAAAATGTGGCTCCATAACTCCTGCTTCGCAAAGCAGCCAGGAAGAAAAGTCACAAATAGCTTTTATTTTGACAAAAAACCAACAAAACAGAAGTCATTCAATTCAGGGTCCCCGAGGAACTTAGATCCTAGCGTGTGGCAACTGATTTAAGTCATCAGCCACGCGTTGAAGAGGCAGTAAATAATTCTGGTCATCCTAAAGAAGTGACAGTTGTAATCCTGGATGTTTCAACTCACTCGGTAGCAGAGACACTTCCCACTGACACGTTACTTAAAGAAACTGATGCCCTGATGCCTGGAAGCTGCAGAAGAGCAGAGGTGAGTTGTTCTAAAACAGCATCCAACAAGTGTGATTTCGGTTTCACAAAAGCCCCTAATTTTTCAACTTTTTAAATTTAAAGAGTCATGAGCCAAAGGTAACTAAATCAAGCAAGAATAAAATAAATATATTGCTTAGGAAGAGGATTGAAAGCCTGATGATTACATCTAAGTTTTCATTAGCTGTGTCTTCGTTATAATAATATCAAACATTCTTGGTGGGTTGGTCTAGTGGCAGCTTCCTCCACACACCAGCACTGCAGGCACGCTCCTGAGAGAATCATCTTGTTTACCCAAACCTTATCTCTTCCCCATAGGAGCTAACAATTTTTGTGACATGGGCACTTGCTCAAAAATACCGATTATGATCTGCAAGCTCAGTTTGTTTTCCAAAGAAAGGCTGGAGCAGCACGTAAGGTCCTTGTGCTTCTGAGCTGGGTTTCCCAGGAAGGCACCCGACCCGATCTGCACAAAGCCATCCCCTCCCAAATGGCTTTCTGTATAGTTTGAAAATACCCAGGCAGAAATATGCATTCTCGTAATGATAATGCAATAAATGTATTACCAGTGCATTTTTAATGACACAAAACAGTTAATGACAAACTACCAAGTCCCACACTCGTATTGACCGTGTAATCACAGAATGACATGGGGTTGGAAGGGGCCTCTGGAGATCATCCAGTCCAACCCCCTGCCAGAGCAGGTCCACCCAGAGCAGGTCCCACAGGAACGTGTCCAGGTGGGCTTGAATGTCTCCAGAGAAGGAGACTCCACCACCTCCCTGGGCAGCCTCTGCCAGGGCTCTGACACCCTCACAGGAAAGAAGTTCCTCCTCATGTTTAGATGGAACTTCTCATGTTCCAGTTTGTGCCCATTTCCTCTTGTCCTGTCCCTGGGCACCACTGAAAAAAGACTGGCCCCATCTTCCTGGCACCCACCCTTTAAGTATTTATAGGCATTGATCAGATCCCCCCTCAGCCTTCTCTTCTCCAGACTAAAAAGACCCAAGTCCCTCAGCCTTTCCTCATCAGAGAGATGCTCCAGGCCCCTCATCATCTCTGTAGCCCTCTGCTGTCCCCTCTCCAGCAGTTCCCTGTCCTTCTGGAACTGGGGAGCCCAGAACTGGTCCCAGTGCTCCAGATGGGGCCTCCCCAGGGCAGAGCAGAGGGGCAGGATGACCTCCCTCCACCTGCTGCTCACACTCTTCCTGATGCCCCCCAGGATGCCATTGGCCTTCTTGGCCACAAGGGCACATTGCTGGCTCATAGGCATGTGGTGTCCACCAGGACTCCCAGGTGTTAGTAATGTATTACTCCTAGTAATGTATATATTTAACTATTTGTGAACAAGCAAAGACTCAGAACAGCCCATGTTACCACTGGGCTTGGCTGCAGATGACAGCATTAAAAGGCAACACATACAGGTAATCACAAAAGTATTCTCCACGTCAGCCAAAGAGCTGTCTCCAAATACTGTTTCAAGACTTTTCTCAACAGCAAGGAAGTGACTGTTCAAAACATTCCTGGAAAACCTCAACCAAATACAAACACCTTAAGCCCCATATTGAAAGCAGAGCAACAGAGAACCTGAGTTCAGAGATGATCTCTCATCAATTCTTGCTTCACCCTCACCTCCCCCTGCCAAACTCGGGGATGGCTGTGCTCTAACAGCAGAAAACTACATTTTCCTGGTCTCCAGAACTCTTGCTTCACCACACTTTTGTTCACACCATCACCACCACTGATCTTCTACCAACCCTTCCCCCTAAAGGCTATTTGCCTTTGAAGCCACCCTTCTCTGTATCCCCGTTGCTGCTGCTGTCTGTACTAGCCCATCTCTAGCAAAACAAAGACAAGTCAAATAAGTCAAACCTGTAACCTTAACGACAGCCAAGAAATGGTTAGACAGGAAAATCTCATTCCTTCTCCACCTGCCACAGCTCGCTACGTGTTTGCTCTGGATTCAGGAGGAATTCTGATGTAGTGCACCGCAAAGAAAACTCCTCAGCTGATGTGCAAAACATCGCTTGTGAGAAAACTCCTGCTTCATCAGTGATTTTTATAGATTCCTACCACCCCAGGCCAGAGCTGTCACAGCTGACTATGGGGGAACTTCTCCTCGTGCCCACCAGCGGCTCCCATTCGGTGAGGTTTTTGCATCAGCAGAACTGGGATTCCACACGCCAACAGGTTTGGTTTTTTAATTAATAGTAGCAGGGGCTCTGCATGGGCAGCATGGCAAAGGCTCCCATTCGGTGAGGTTTTTGCATCAGCAGAACTGGGATTCCACACGCCAACAGGTTTGGATTTTTAATTAGTAGTAGCAGGGACTCTGCATGGGCAGCACGTCAGAAAACCCAGCTGATTAACTGCCGAGGGAAATTACCTTCCTACCTTCTCAACCTGCACTTGGCTTTTGTTTCCCCACCAGGAGTTAAGTCACTGCTGCTCGCACACACAGATTTTGGTACCCTTTTTTCACCTACTCACGGTTCACCTGACATTCTTGAAGACAGGGAAACCTTGAGCTGAAATACAAATGTTCCAGTGTGCTCTTTTAAAAAAAAATTAAAATTACAACCCTTGCAAGGTCTCTGTGGTGAGATACATGGTTTGGAAACCTCACGCCTGCAGGTTTGGGAGGTTAAACTGAAGACTGGATTCAGAAAAACAAACCTCAAACCTTATGTAAGGTTATTTAGGGGAACGCAGTCCTGACTTCCATGGCGGGGCAGAAAAATACACACACTGTTCAAACACTTATCTGCGGCAACTCCCTAACTTCCAGCAAGCATAATTTAAATAGGTATTAATTAAGACCAGCCTGTTTGGTGGAGATACGGCTATCACAAAAAATCTCTATTAAATGACTTGCAGACCTCCTGCTCCCCACACCCCTGCCAGGACAGCCCCAGACCCGCTCTTCTACCAAGGACAAGAAGATTAGAGACACGCTCCGATGCCCAGACATCCAGACTTCAAAGGGCAAAGGGCCGAGCTGCCTGCCCCTCCTATTTTTTTCCGTAAATACACTTAGCAGTGTGTTTTACACTCATGCAGGTAAGAGCAGGCAAGCGTTGAAATATTACGCAGAGTTTTCTGTTTACAGCAAGGCACCTCCATGCTCCTCACTGGCATCTGAAGGTCAGCACCCACCCTATAGAAATACACACAGGTCTCCTTCAGGTCTGAAGAAACCAGGTTTCTCTGCAGCTTTGTGATCGCTCCGGGACTGATCTGCCACCGCAGAAGTCTTAACAAGCCTTATTTTTTATTTTTCCAAAAGGAAGCACAACAGGGATTTGAAGAAAAAAATAACAAAGGGAGAACTTCTTCTTAAATACATTCTCTTATTTGATACTGCTGCTTTATAGCAATGCTCTAACGCTACTACTGCTGCTGAGAGCATGCCCATTTATCTGAATCCATTTCTCTAAACCCCCCACCCCCTTTTTTTTTTA